ATATCGTAGAAGCTTTACGCGACCAGATTAAGTTATGGCCGGTTGTTTTAATACGACCACAACGCAGGGCCTTAATTGAATTGATTACAGGCAACGTGCAGTCCAGCGCCGTGAATGATTTGCCCACCGCAAACCGTCGAAACAAAACGCCCCAAATATGCACGTAAACAGTTTAACGATCCTGTTTGATCGAGAGCCAAACGGAAATGCCGATTGTTTTCCAATCGTTCGAATCACTTTTGTGCTTGTCGGCAACAGAGAAATATCCACCCTTCGGGGCACTTCTTCGGTTGATAAAACTGAACAAATTTGAACGTTTAAGGTGGGCTCATAATTTCTGGACCAGAAGCTTTGATCGGCTTTCTATATTATAATCTTCTTTAAGTGCCGTCTTCGTTGCGAAGGTTGGCAATCATCAGTGCTATTCGTATTCGTGACACAGCCGACCGAAATAGTTGGTTTGTGGTGCACCCGAACCAGTCACGTAAGTTTCTCATCAATGAGTGACGCCTTCTTCCTACACTTCTCTTTCCTTGAATTTTTCCTTGTAATATCAGTTGGAGTAGTTGGTACTTTTCTCCTCTCATGACGTGTCCAAGATACTGAAGTTTACGCTTTTTTACCGTAATGATAATTTCTTTTTCCTTTTTTATTCTTTTCAGGATTTCCATGGTGGTCACTTTATCGGTCCATTTTACCTTAAGTATCCTACGGTACAACCACATTTCGAACGCCTCCAGTTTCCTTATGTCCAGTTTCTTCAGAGTCCAAGCCTCTACACCATAGTACAGTACCGACAAAACATAGCATCGCACCATTCTGATTTTTAAATCCAAGCCGAGATCGCTGCCACAGAGCACTCTTTTCATTTTCACAAATCTTGTTCTCACCTGTCCTATTCTAGTTTTGATTTCTTCAGAGCAGTCGTTATTTTTATTTACAATTGTACCTAAGTATTTATAACTGTCAACTTTTTCTATGGATTGGTTATTTATATGAATTTGTGAATTGTTTTGTGCTGTTTTTGATATTATCATAAATTTTGTCTTTTTTACGTTTAGTGACAGTCCGAACTCTTCACTCGATGTATTAACTTTGTCTACTGCAATCTGTAATTCGTTTAGGTTGGTAGCTATCAGGATCGTATCATCCGCATATCTTATATTGTTGATAGGCACTCCGTTAATTTTTAGTCCTTTCGTTTCATCGTCCAATGCTCGTTTCATTATTTCCTCTGAGTAAAGGTTAAATAACATCGGTGATAGCACGCACCCCTGCCTAACGCCTCGACGGATTTCTATTTCGTCGGTGTTATTCCCTTCTATTTTTACCACTGCTTTTTATATCTCCGGTGTCTAAGTTCTTCTCTTTCAGAAGCTGGATAAGTTGTTCGTGTCGGACCCTATCGAAGGCTTTGTTGTAATCAATGAAACATATATAAAGATCCTGATTCATATCCATACATCGTTGGGCGAGAACGTTCAAGGCAAATATTGCTTCTCTTGTGCCTAAGCCGCCTCGGAAACCGAATTGAGTCTCGCTGATATCTTGTTCTAATGTTTTGTATATCCTGTGATGTATCACTTTCAGAAATATTTTTAGCATATGACTCATTAGACTGATTGTTCGAAAGTCCGTGCATTGCCTTGCATTATGTTTTTTTGGGATAGTGACGAACGCTCATAGCAACCTTGGTATAATACCTGTTTTGTATATGGTGTTGAACAGATCTGTTAGACTGTGTATGTTTTCCTCTTCTATCAATTTGAGAATTTCAGAGGGTAACTCATCAGGCCCTGCAGCTTTTCCATCTTTTGTGATTTTTATAGCATGGATGACCTCTTCTTTAGTTATTTCCGGTCCACTGTTTTCTTGTTCTGTTACTATTCTGTTTATATCTCTCTCATCATCGAATAATTCTGTTATGTAATTCTTCCATGTTCTTAGTTTTTCTTCCATTTCCATAATAATTTTGCCATTCTGGTCAGTGAGTATTGACGGTTGTCTTTTTTTCTGTACCCCGCCAGTTCTTTTACCTTCTTGTGGACATTGAAGCTGTCGTGCTTTTCTTGAAGGGCTTCTATTTCGTCGCATTTTCTTTTGTAGAATATCTCTTTTGCTTCTCTTATCTGTGATCGGATTTCTTTCTGAATATTCTTATATGCTTCGTTGTTGTCTTTTACACCACGTCGTTCGTTCATCAAATTCAAAATTTCTGGGGTCATCCATTAATATTTTTTCCCTATTTTCTGTTTTGTCAGAATGGTCTTGCTCGGCTCAATTAATGCATTTTTTAAATCTTTCCATTGTTTGTCCGTGTCTTCTTCCGCTGTTATTTGATTGTTGTTGAGGGTTCTGAGGTTGTCATTGATCTTATTTTGTAGCCTTTGTCTTGTTTCTTGGATTTTTATACCCGATACGTCTATACAATTTGTTGTTGGTATTACTCGTTGTTTTTTAAGTGTTATTAAAAACCGGGCTATTAGTGGATTATGGTCCGATGAGACATCTGTCCCTGGGTAGGTTTTAACTGATTTGATTACATTCCTATATCTGTGGTCTATCAAGATGTAGTCAATTTGGTTCCTGACTATATTTTGTTTGTTGTCTTGCGGAGATTTCCAGGTGTACAAACGGCGGTTTGGAAGTTTGAAGAACGTATTCGATATAATAAAATCGTTTTCTTGGCAAAATTGCAGCAGTCTATCACCTCTTTCGTTTCTCCTATCAAGTCCATATTCTCCCACATGTTTGTCAAATCTACCTCTGCCAATCTTGGCATTGAAGTCTCCTAATACTAGTGTTATGTCCCTTGATTTTAAAGATTGTATGTTGTTATTAATCTGGTTGTAGCATTCCTCAATGTCTTCGTCAGATTTATCTGCTGTCGGGGCGTATGTTTGAATTATGTTTAATTTACAATGATACGTTTGAAGTTGGAGTAACATTCTTAACTAGATTAAATATAATTTTTCCCTTATTCCCTTTCCCTTAAATCCTGATGAATTGTAGTGTCTATCTCAAAACTGTAGATTTTGATTTGATGCAGCATATTCCTCAATCGTTGCATTGGCTAAAAGTCATGAATTGAAGTTCGAATTGCTTTATTGTCTACCCTATTCGTACGACTTAGCATCCAACACCTAGTAGAGCAACCCATATGAAAAATGTGTTAGTCTTTCTGGGGACTATTTGAAATAGTGCGAAAAGGATCGAATTTGTGCAATTTTTTTAAATTCAAATCTCTTTATATTACGGCATATTTCATAATTCAATAATCAAACCCTTACGAAATTTTTCAAAACCCTATTTTCGATTAGTTTATGAACTTTTATAATGCGACGCTGATTCTTAATAATGTGAATCCTAAGATGACGTTATGAAGGAGTTCGTAAGCTCTCCTGAAAACGCTAACTCTAAAAATATCGCTTTCAAAGTTGAGCTCTCACGTAAGCTGCCCTATACAGGCTCTAACTCTAAAATCTCTAGTACCAGAAACGCCTATATCCGAAAGTTTCTGAAATTTGAAGCTAGATGGTGGCAGGAAAAAATATGTTTTATCATAACTTTAACAATACTCGCATACATAAATATATACGTTATATATACAAAAATATATACGTTTACGTCACTTTTATATATAAGGGAGATATGACCGAAATGCAATTTGTGGCTAAATTTTAAACAATTTAAATTAGTTTTTTGAGTTTTATCCCTACCCCGGAGACCTGAGAAGTTCAACAACGGACGAAACCTCTTGCACAGCGGGTTCATTAATTTCCAAGTTTTACGTACGTGCCGGCATAACAGGTGATATTTATGCGCGTAAAGTTTTAAAATAAAACACCCGGGCGACGAAAAATATGGTGACTAAAATAACCCGTTTGTTTCTCGGGTGATGGACGATCTCACGTCATGGTTCGTACGTCATATATTTTGCGTTGAAATGATGCAAAGCAGAAAAAGACAACAAAGGAAGATTTTACTCAAACTGGACGAGTATTATTTTCAATTCGATTTTATATTTTTTATATATTTGTTTATTTTAAATATAAAATTTAAAAAAATTATAATAGGGAGTACGAGGGCTGTCTTTTATATTTCGAGATTTTCTTAAACTAGTCCTGCCATCTGGCGACTAACGATTTTATAGGGAAGTTGAGGTTAGGTTTTGGCAAAAGAGTGTTGTTTGTGTTTTTTGTGATAAATTAAAAAAATTGTGACGCTTAAAAATGGAACTTAATCGGGAACACATCACAAACACCATCTAGGATTACTGGTTGTCCAAGAAAATATTGATGCAGTGCGGAAACTGATTTTGCAGGGTCGTCATGTGACTTACCATAAGAATGAGGTACCTTTGGGTATTAGTGGGACCAGCATACATACAAATTTGCATGAACATTTGGACGCTAAAAAAATTATTCACGTTGGATTCCACACAATTTTACATCAGCCCAAAAAAAGGCTCGTGTTGATTGGTCTAAGGAAATACTAAAAAAATACGATCGCGGTGGTTCCAAACACGTCTATGATGTCGTGATCAATCATGGTCATCATTAAATATTTTTTTGATATTTTTTAATATAAATCCGCTATTCCCGTTTTCCGAATTTCCGCGATGAAATTGGCGTTCTACATTACAGATATTACTTTTATTTATTTTTTTCCTAATTATAATTTATTTGGCGAATTGTACAACGCAGAAATAGTATTTATTAAAATTTACATCGGAAAAATAGAGCTTAAAAAAATGAACCACTAGCCAGGCGTTAAAATGTGTTTATTAACGCTTCCACTAATAGTCGATTTTACGAGGTTTCCAGCCATCAACACATCTAGTGAAAAGTATCCTTTTATTATTACTCGAACGAGCGATTTATAATATTTAGTTTGGCACAGGTCCGATACGGCAGCATCGAATCGATACTGACCTATCGTTTTCATTCATAAAACCGATCGGACTTGTTTGGTTAACGTTAAAAATTGATAATTCTTACCGAACAAATCTGCTTCGAAGACATCGTACGTCCGGATTTTTAACCCATCTCCTTCGACGTCCTGGAAAAACAAGTTCCTTTCAGACTAATGTTTCCGTGAGCTCGAAGCAAAAAGTGAGCTTTTAACTCAATCCGACACCTTATAGCCTCGTTATAAAGATGTTAGTTAAACTTTTTGGTACTAATGGCGGGAATCTACGGGACTTGCAATTTTTTTTATACAGGGTGCATACGAAGAAAATGAACACCACCGGGAAGCGTTGTTTTAATAGATTGACTATTGTAATACACAGGGGTTCATTAATTGGGTAGCGATACTTGAGGATGTGAATCCTTTGGCAGTTTTATGAAGCAAAGTTATACTAAAATCTCTCTATACCTCCTGCGTCGGTTTTTGTTGAGTCCAAATTGCTGACGTTTCGCCAATTATCCAAAACCGACGCAGGAGGAATCCAGAAGTTTTGTAAAAAGTATTACAGCCTGTAGAAGTTTCTTAGAAAAATTAGAAGCAAAGTTAATATCAACACGTGTAAAGTAATTATTGAGCTCTATTTTTATCCTAAATTTCTCTTTGCTGTAGATAATCTATACCGATGACCTAAGTCCTGTGTTTGAACCATAAAAAAAAGATGATACACCGGCGCTTTTTCGATGTTAGAACATTAAAACCGTGTCAAAAATTTAGAATTTTCGTTACATAGCGAAAAAGAGTTATGGCAATATTTTACCACTAGTGCAACAATATTCCTCACTTAGTTTCAAAATTAGGAAATGTGCCGTATAAAAGGCGTTTTATTGCATTAGGAGTTCTTTTGAAGAAAATAAACTACGAAGAAAATTTGACCTTAAAGTGCTGTGCATGCTCCTAGGATAACATGGGGGATATACAAAATTTGTTTTATTTGTGAGTGGGATAGTAGGGCAAGAGATAGACATTGGACTCAAATAGAATGGCCATCTAGAACAAGCCTTACACCTGGAAGCGAAAGTGTCCTCCTTTGTTTGTTAAAGCCCTAGATAAAATTGGACAATGATTCAAATATCTGATGCCAAGATAAAAGAAGGTACTGTTGTTGAGCCGCAGGTAAGAACATTATGCAAATACAAGGATTTTCAATACACAATGACCACTCTCGGGAAAAACGTGTTTAATTTAAATTATTAAAGTTAGAATTTATAATTTAGATATAAAGTATGGCCAATGGTTATACTTTACTGACGATTTCGCTTACGTAGGTTAAATACTTCATGAGTATTCAGGAAATTAAAATTACGTTACAACATTAAAGTTTAGGTATCGAAACACACATTTATATAGTAATATAAATGGAGTTCCTAAAAACCACTCTGATATTTTTAATACTTTTGGGATAACCCGTATAGTATCCCACATCCCAAAAGTAAAACGCTTTGAAAACCTTGCATTATGGCCACAATATTCCGTACCATATAGCGTGAATAACCCTGAACAATGCTCGAAATGAACGACAAAAGATGATTAAAATTATAAGCTTTCCGTGCTATACGTCTATCAGCATCTCCATTAAATATTTTATCGTTATTTAATTTTAGATGGAAGGAAACAACGCTAGCTCGCCGACGTCGCCTATGTGGTCGCGTCGCTACCGATAAATAGGTGACCGGGCATGGAGCCCAATTTATTCTTTTAATAATGATCGACCCCCTTTCGGGATCGTAAATAAAATGTGTTTCAATGCCGACGTATACGGGGGAAGAGGGGAAGAGAGTCTTCCCACCGTCGAAGATAATGATATCCTCTTTAGAGTGTCGACTGAAACAATAGAGGTATGATTAGGAAATGGCGCGTAATTTCGGTTAATTTGCAACCGAAATGTGCCCCTTGTGTACGTGAACTGTCTTGGATTAATCTTCACCGCTCTAGTTTTAAAGCGAATTAAAGTTTCGAACCATAGACGTAACCAAAGGGAGAGTGAATTTGGGGAAAAACATGAATCGGTTTAAAATTTTTTTTTAAAGCACTACGCCCTGTATATTATTTTATTTTTTCGCCCTACTCTTAAAATAAAATCGATTTTGATCTTTAACAACAAAGGCAACGTTGAATGCCAAGTATCCAGTTTAATTCCATTTAAATATTTCTTTATTTCTCCAAACTAGCCTGGAAACTACTTATCACATTTTGAAGACATTCGTTTATCTATAACAGTATCTAAATATGTTTTAATTTGCTTAGCAAACAGTCTTTTTGAATCTTTCTTAACCTGGAACATTGTTGTATGTCTTCATAGCTAGCACAGTCTTATTTAGTCCCATAGTCTTACAGTGACACTTTGTTGAAATCTAGTGTTGCGTTCATGTACAGGGTGGCCCGTTTAAGAGGGGCCTATACCTTATCTCGAAACCTATGTGGGTTACAAATAAAATTTAATTAATTAATTTAATTAATTAAAAGACATGTGGTCTATATTATTAAGAATATGAATATTTTTTAAAAGTTTTTTTTCCATTTAAGGACCTTATTTACAAGATTCTTAAATTATGTATGTAACATAATTTTTGTATTATTGGAAAACAGTTCCCAATTAAGCCAAAGCGGTAAGTCAGAGACCCGTACTATGTTACATAATTGAAATTGCTATTAAAGTGACTAAACGTGGCAACACTGCGTATTTTAAGAAAATATTTTATTATTTATTGCCTAAAAAACATTACCCGAATTCTGAAGATGATCGCTAATAAGTTCGAAACGGTGCATCACAGAGCCATACGCATATATCTCGTTGAATTTATCTTTTAAAGGACTATCCAAACATGCAATAAAATGTTGGGTGTTCTACTTAAAAAAACGTAACTTTGTTTTACAACATGTATATAAAAAAGTGATGATTAGGAAAATACAAAAAATGAAGGTCATTTTAATAGAAACAAATTTTGTATTTCAATTTTATAAGATAAGCGGTAATGTATAGGCCACCCTTTACATCGTTACCCGTTTTGATAGTTTCCGTTTTATTTAATATGTTATAAAATAATTTAATTTGTCACTAGGAATATAAAAGTTCAGTATACAAATCTGTCAGTCTTGGTTAATCTATAATTAAATAACAGTTTCAAAATTCGGTTCTAAAATATTTGAAGAGTGTTGAAATTTTTTCTACTCCCGTCTGTAAAATACCTAATTACACACCGATCTAGCGTGCGGGAACCGTCACTTTACCACGTCAGTTTCGTTTCCCACGAATCCCAGCCACTTCGGTCATTTCCGAGATTTTACCGCACGGGTTTCGGAGATATTTCCCACGCTTTGAATTTTGACGTGTGTCAATTCTGACGGTCATGTAAGTGAATGTATTCGTGTTGTTTTGCGAAAATGTACCTAAAAACTAACCGTCGTAGAAAAAGTATAATATGCAACACGTTCGGTAAACTTTTTAAGTCACTTGTTCATTAAACACTAGCTCCGCTCGTGTCAAATAAATTCGTGAGCAAATGCCGTTTAACGCACTTGTTGCATAATATACTATTACTACATGCTCCCCACAATGGGAGTAAATATCTGAGATATGAGAGCAAAAAGACGTTATAGACACTATGTTCCTTTTTATCACTACGTAATGGTTACGTTTGTATTATATTGGAATTATTGGCATTATTTTCCTAAAAAAATATCCAATATGGTGGGACCGGTCTAATGTAACAATTAAATATCTATCTTTTTTTTTTGTATTACTGGATCTGTTTATTTTTTGTTTAGTTGTAAATTTTGTTTTATCGATGTTTATGTTAAGTTTACTATAATATAACCAAGTGAAAAAAAGGCAAAAGTAAAGTATTGTGCTTTTTAGTTCACCAATTTCCAGCTTCAGAATAAGAAAAAATAAAAAAAATATCACCGCCCGTTCGAAATATCAACAATATTAAAAAAATAATAACTGATTTCTAACAAAATTGTTTGTTGTCCCTTTTTGAACCCGATACAAAATAACACAATAAAAGTAACTTAAAAACATAAAAATGAAAAAAGGTTCTATTTGATATAACTAAATAAAAATATAAAAAATATATAAAGAAACTAACCAAAATAAAAAAAACATCAGCTCCCGTTCGAAATATCAACAATATTAAGAAAATAATAACTGATTTCCAACAAAATTGTTTGCTGTCAATTTTTGAACCTGATACAAAATAGCACAATAAAAGTTACTTAAAAACATAAAAATAGAATTGAAATGCGCTAAAAAGTTCTAATTGATATAAATAAATATTATCAACACAATGCAAAATCTTTATGATGATGAATTTGATTAAATTCCAAACGACCACATCCAAAATATATTGTGTGATAATTTAGTTAGCAGGCCTGAACAAAACCAATATATGAAATGATATAATATAGGGTGTGTCATTTATTTACGTTTTTTTTTTCGAAATGCATTAAAAATCGCCACTTGGCTAGTTACGTCTATGTTTTGGATGCCCCAGATAACCTGCCCTGACCGAAATAAGTAAACTATACGCGAGTACGGGAGCTTCTTTGTTTGAGAACTCTCGCTATATGGGACCATGTCAAACTCCCGGAATAGGTCACAAAGTTTAGCAGGATATGAGGTAGTTTAATTGACGTCGGTTTATACGCTCAAACTGCTCTTTTGGGCAAGACAAAGCGACGAACGTTGAGGGAAATTTGAAATTTTTGCTATACATGGTCTTAAAATAGTATATTAATTTAATATAGTATATACAATAATATATTATAATAATGCACTTTTTCTGGGAAACACGCAATTAAACGAAAATTTTCCGAATGTTAAATGACTAATTAAAAATAAAAATTTTACACATACATTTTATATTATAAATATTAATTAAAAACCAAAATAAGTAGAAATGGTCCCCAATCTACACAGTTCTCACGAAAAAAAAATTAATTTTGTTGTTTGTTAATATAAAAGGTGTTCCATATATACTCGTTTAGTTTGTAACTGTATAGTCCACGAACAAAATTTATAAAAATGTAAGCTTATTACGCTCCCGGAAAACCGCCACACAGTGGGCCAGGAGGACCCAACAAGTTTTTAA